GATTGGATAGACTTCATGATTATTGCTATGAGAACAAAAAGAAAAATTATCACTATTTCTTGGGGGTAAAAAAGTGCATCCCCAGGACTGTATCCCTGTTGGGAACATTCAAGGGAAAAGGTAATATTCTCAGCTACCCAATGATAACCCAGAGGTCCCATCGATCAGGACTGTGTGGTTATTCATCAAAAAGACATCAGAAAGGTGTGGGGTGATATATGTACTGCAGTCATCATTGACAAGTGCACAAGTGCATCCATCTCCTAGATCTGCTGGGATGATGGCTAATGTCAGCTGATGATGGACAACAACCGCTGGAGTTCTGGCATTTCTTGAGTGATTGTGTTAATGTTTTTGGTGACATCACTGGTAGCTTGGTTGGCTTCATGATTGACAGCATGGAAAATTTGGGCATTGGGTTGAGCTTCTTCAGTAACCCACACAGCTGCTTGTCCAGAAAAGCCTGCAACCTGAGACCTGTCCATTTTGGTGGCAAATTCTTCTAAAACGATTCCAAGTCTTTTAGCTTTTTCAGACAGTTCCTGTTCATCCCCTGGAGAAAATGGGTGTTTTGCAGAGGGATGTTCTCACTCTTGACAATGGACTGTTCTTCTGTCCAGAAGTGAGTTTTTACTTCACTTCTAAAAAGTTCGTAAGTTGTCAAACTCTATCCAACTGTGTAATCAGAAAGGGAAAAAGAGATGGGTAACATGACTATCCAATTGGCTAGTTAAAAAAAAAAAAGGCAGTGAACCCACAACAAAGTATTCTCCAGGGAAGAAAAAAAAACCCGACTGTCACAATTTATCATGTAGCTTTTCTAATAGTGGCTGGTGTTGGAATTAAACCCAGGACACTCAAGCACTTCATTTGGGCTAATAACCTGGCAGGTTTTCCTTGTAGTAGTAGCTTTGGCCCACAAATTTATGATTACAAACAAACACTTCCTTTGGATAAAACAAGTTAATCTCCTTTGGTGTGTATACTGGGTAGGGGGTGATAATTTTGGAGAGTTGTCAGAGGTCCAGTTTGTATGAGAATATGCCTCAGATGGCAGCAGTAATGGTGGAGAGATTTCTTTCAGAGTAGGAAATAGAGGAGATATAAAATAGAATTGACAGGAAAAGGTGCAGAGCCAATAGCTGACATTAGGTTCATAAGCCTGAGCAAGAAAATGAGAAAGATTTGAGGTATTGAGTAAGGGCAGAGGAGAAAGGGAACAGGAAATGTGGAGAACACAGAGAAGAAACAGAAATAGCAGAGTGAGGATAGAAGTTGGTAGCGATTGCATAATTTTTGGCTTACAAAGTTTCTTAATTATAATTTCAGTAAAATGAGTAAGTAGAGATTCCCCAGATAGAAAGTACAAATTCTAATTTTCTTAGAAGTCATAGTAAGACCTGGTGCCTTAGAGCTAGGCAATCGAGGAAATTTGTTGTGATGCAGGAAGTTGTATAAAGTCCATCTGTAAATCTTCAGAAGGTCCCTGGAGTCCTGGTTTCTGTCCATGTCCCACATTTACAGTTTGTCCAGGATTATAAAGTGTTGCAGGTGGAACATACCCTGGGGACATCATCTGCTACTCAACTAAAGATTTCACCACCAGTGTTGGCCCAGAGGAGTTTTCAAGTTTGTTTACTGTGATGGATCATAGCCTACATATTTTTCTTTTATTTCTTTTCTTTTTGTTTATTTATTATTTTGTTGCCTACACATTTTTCATCAAGCTCCAATTCAGACTGGAAAGGCCAAACAGCGGTCTTGGTATCTCCATTGCCCATCTGATGGAAGGGGACATTGGGTTTCTTCCAATATCTCATTTTATTGTGGTAAAATATATGTAATGTGCCATTTACTATTTTAACCATTTTTAAGTATACGGGTCAGTTCCATTGAGTACATTCACATTGTTCTGCAGGCACCAGCACCATCCATCTCCAGAACTCTTTTCATCTTGCAAAACTGAAACTCTGTCTCCACTGAACCATAACTCCATATTCCCTGCTCCTTCCAGCCCCCTGGCAACCACCATTCTACTCCCTGTCTCTATAAATGTGACTACCCTAAATACCTCATATAAGTGGAATTATATAATGTTTGTCTTTGTGACTGTCTTATTTCACTAAGTATGTCTTCAAGGTTTTTTTTTTTTTTTTTTTTTGATGATGTAGCATGTGTCAGAATGCCCTTCCCTTTTTAAGGCTGAATAATACTCCATTGTCTTTATATACCACATTTTGTGTATTTGTTCATCTGTCAATGGACAGTTGGGTTGCTTCCACATTTTGGCTATTGAGAATAATGCTGCTATGAAAATGGGTGTTTAAATATCTGTTTGAGTCCCTGACTGCAATACTTTTGGATATATACCAAGAAGTGGAATTGCTGGATCAGATGGCGATTCTATGTTTAATTTTTTGAGGAACTGCCATTCTCCCTTATCTCGTTTATAGAATCGAATGCTTGTGACTGCATTTTTCCCAAGATTTCATAGACGTGGTCTGGAGGAACCAGACCATCAGCAGTTTGCTAAACTTGAATGAGAGCGGATTGTTTAGCATACCAGCCAAGGACTTTCCTTTTGTTTCACAGGTTTATTTCTTTTTTTTTTTTTTGAGACGGAGTTTCGCTCTTGTTACCCAGGCTAGAGTGCAATGGCGCGATCTCGGCTCACCGCAACCTCCGCCTCCTGGGTTCAGGCAATTCTCCTGCCTCAGCCTCCTGAGTAGCTGGGATTACAGGCACGCACCACCATGCCCAGCTAATTTTTGTATTTTTGGTAGAGACGGGGTTTCACCATGTGACCAGGATGGTCTCGATATCTTGACCTCATGATCTACCCGCCTCGGCCTCCCAAAGTGCTGGGATTACAGGCTTGAGCCACCGCGCCCGGCCCTCACAGGTTTATTTCCTAGTAGGAGCTTTGACTACACTTACATCCAATTCCTGGAGCAAGGTTTCTAGTAAAGCTCAGCCTTGCTCACCACACTTAACACAAGTACCAGCCACAGGTAGGACACTCTGTTGTTTTTATAAAATACCGGAATCATAAACCACAGCACCAGCACACGTGCTTGTCTAGCTGCGTTGTATTTGTAGAGGCCCTTTTGTTTCCCTCAGGTGAAGTTGAGGGCTATAAGACTGTGTGTGCAGTTTTCTCCTTGTTTATCATGCTTTCTTCAAAATACTGAGCTAAGTGTTGTAACTCGTGGATGGGTATGACCTGCCCACCTATTTCTGCTTCTGAACAGCAGCCAAGATTTCAGGCTTAGGGCTATTAACAAAAAAGGAGAAGTCCTTGGCAGTATTAGCATTAATGCCCAACCTCTAGTATTCCTGAAAATAGTCTCTAATTACTCTCTGTAGTTAGAGACAGATTCATCCTGCCTTTGTCAACAGGGTTGGATTGTTCTCTAGTAATTATGAGGGGCGTAAACTTCAGGGATAGCCTTTAAAAGACACTATCCTATTTCCTGGGTTTTTACATAAGCAAAGAAGGTGTAATTTCTAGCAGGGTTACCTAAATCCTAATTTATGGTGGCCTTGTCAAACCAGGGTCAGGGATCTCCTGGTCCTACTTTAGTAGGTGTGCTAAATGACACAGATCAAGGAGCTCAGAGTGGCTGGGTACAGTGGCTCATGCCTGTAATCCTTTGGGAGGCCAAGATGGGTGGATCACCTGAGGTCAGGAGTTCAAGACCAGCCTGGCCAACATGGTGAAACCCCTTCTCTACTAAAAATACAAAAAATTAGCCGGGTGTGGTGGCGGTGCGTGTAAACCCGGCTACTCGGGAGGCTGAGGCAGGGGAATTGCTTGAACCTGGGAGTTAGAGGTTGCAGTGAACCAAGATCGTGCCATTGCACTACAGCCTAAGCAACAAGAGTGAAACTCCATCTTAAAAAAAAAAAAAAAAAGGAGCTCAGGAGCATAAGCCCCAAAACCACCCCAAATACATTTCTTTCATTTTCAGGATTTGGGACATCTTTGACTATGGTATGGAAGTCAGCCCACAACCAGGGTTCCAAGGTCACAGGATTGGGGTCAGGAACTGCTTGGGAAGGGGGTGGTGAAGGTCTGCATCTAAAGGCAAGAGGGAGGTGGGGAAAGGTAGGAAGAGGAGGAAGGGGCACAAAGGAGAGCAAAGACCAGGAAAGCAGGGCAGCCAACAGAAACTGGCGTTATAAGAGGCAGAAGCAGACTTAGACCAACGGGAGGAGGTCTTTGTGGGGAGAAGGCTGAAGGTTTTTCAAAGAGACCTCCATAGATTAGAGTCTGCCTGGATTGTCTCTTTTCTCAGTGGCTGCTTCTTACCAATTAAAGAAAGCCACTCATTGTAAGTGAGCTATCTTACCTTCTTTTTGTTTTAAGGTGCTGAGCCGAAGTCCAAGTTTTCACATATTTAATAGCCCCAAAGGGACTCTTTCAATAATTCAAGATAGTCTTTCTTGAAGTCACTCATAGAATGTCAGTGGCAATACAAATGGGTATTATGTTTCCTGCAATATGCACGAAGAGTGTAAAGTGTTCATGCCTTTCCATCTAGTAAATCTACTTCTGGTAATCTATTAAAAATAACCAGAGCTGGGTGAGGTGACTCATGCCTGTAATCCCAGCACTTTGGGAGGCCAAGACAAGTAGATCACCTGAGGTCAGGAGTTTGAGACCAGCCTGGCCAACATGGTGAGACATCGACCACCACCTGTGGAGGTCTGGCCTGCAGACCCTGACTCAATGACGGATGAATGAATGCACTTTCACACCATTACAGTGATACAAGCTGGCTGCTTTCAGAGGGCGAAATACACAACCAATCGACCCAGCCTCCCTCTCCATGGTTACATTTATTCAGTATGAATTTACAACAGAGGTTCTAAGTCAACACACTTGTGGATAATTAGCATGGTTGAAAGAATGGTTTTATGACTGATAAAAGCTTTAGGTTCTGGGCCCTGAGTAAACACTATTAACAGGTAATTCCCCTTTGATCTCCTTCTGACAGGACCACTCAGCACAAAATTTACATGAGTAAACACAGTGGAGACAAAGAGGTAAGCAGATTTAAACTGGGAAAGCTTTTGATCGTCTCTCTTTCCTATGCTAATGTAAATGAGGCAGCTGTCTTCACCTTGCCCCAGTAAAACCTTTTGGCCTTCCGAAATGTTTGAGATGATACTCTATAACTTTTCCTAATATTTAATATTTTGCCAGCCACCCCGAGTGACTATCAACAATATGGAAAAACCCCGTCTCTACTAAAAATACAAAAATTAGCTGGGCCTGGTGTCCGGCGCCTGTAATTCCAGGTACTCAGGAGGCTGAGGCAGAATTGCTTGAGCCCAGGAGCTGGAGGTTGCAGTGAGGTGAGATTGCACCATTGCACTCCAGCCTGGGCAACAAGAGCAAAACTCCATCTCAAAAAAAAAAAAAAAAAAAAAAAAAAAAAAAAAACAGAGATAGTAAAAAATATATACATACTAAAATATTCATTTTATGGAGGGGACAGTCTTTGAGAAATGTATCCATATGCTTTCCTCCTACACATTTCCTTGCATGAATTTTCCTAGCAATTACTAGAGTGCATTTTCTACCAGAAGGCAAAAATGGGAAATGAAAACACATAGCAGCTATAACTAAATTTAGAGACCAGATTTTATTACATGCACTCTAAAAAAAAAAAAAATCTGGCCTAAAAATCTGGCTCACGCCTGTAATACCAACACTTTGGGAAGCTGAGGCGGATGGAGAGCTTGAGGCCAGGAGTGTGAAACCAGCCTGGCCAAGATGGCAAAACCCTGTCTCTACTAAAAAGACAAAATCAACTGGGTGTGGTAGTGCAGGCTTGTAATCCCAGCTACTCAGGAGGGTGAGGCATGAGAATTCCTTGAACCTGAGAGGCGGAGGTTGCAGTGAGCCACCATTGCCACTGCACTCCAGCCTGGGTGACAGAGACCCTGCCTCAAAAAAAAAAAAAAAAAAAATCTGTACCTACTACACATGTAACAGAAAATATTGCAGATAGCAAGAGTAGTATGACATCTACGACTGCCAGGACCCAATCCAAGAACCTGTGGGACTATTTGTGATAAACAATGCCCTGAAGTAGATGCTGTTACCACCCTTAATCTACACTTGTGGAAACAGGCACACAGAGGTGGAGTCGGTTGTCAAGGGTCTCAGGGCCCCTTAAAGAGAGCAATGACATTCACCAATGTCCCTGGTCTGTCAGACTCTGGATTACACACTGGCTTGCAGAATGCTTTCCTGCCCCCAGTATAAAAAGAAAAGTCACGCTGGGCAAGTATGTAAAAGAGCCAGCAAAACATTAAAAAAAAAAAAAATCATGGCAGTCACTGCTCACAGAAATAGTGCAAAATGGAAAGAGAAAATAAGCCATGTAGGAAACTGTTCAAAGAGTATGATCTAAGTATTATGAAATGACACTTTTTTTTTTTTGAGATAGGGTCTCTGTTCTGTCACCCAGGTTGGAGTACACTGGAGTTCACTGCAGCCTAGACCTCCTGGGCTCAAGCAACCCTCCTACCTCAGCCCCCTGTAGCTCCCAAAAGCTGGGACTATTAGTATATACCACCACAGCCTGCTAATTTTATTGTTTATGTTTTGTAGAGGTGGGGTCTCACTACGTTGCCCAGGCTGGCCTCCAACTCCTGAGATCGAGCAATCCCCCTGCCTCTGCCTCCCAAAGTGTTAAGATTACCAGCCGGAGCCAAGACATCTAGCCTATTTTTTTAAAAATCACCTGGAAGAAATTACTACCTGTATTTGTATTCAACAAATGTCTATATTGAGAAGACAAAGCTAGGCACTGTTCTGGTGGTGTGCTGAAAATACGTTTGTGAGCAAAAACAAAGCAAAACAAATGTAGTTCCTGTCATTATAATGATCACTTTCTGATATTAACCTTTGAAATAGACGGACAGGGGTTATTTCTGTTATCTAGCTTAATTATTAAGTTGGTTCTGGCTCTTCTATACTACATATTAGTAAAACACAAATAAAATTATTTCAAGTCTTCTTGAAATAATTTGTGGGACACCTTAATGCTAAATAGAATCGCTTAAAATTTTCTTAAAGACATGATGTAAATATCAATCTCATGTTTCAAATCTACCTTTATAGATGAAAAACCTTTCAAGAAATAATAAAATATGATTAGTGATTATGGCATGTTGATGTAACTGTGGAGTTTTCTTCATTATATTTTATCTCTCCTCCAGTGCTATGAAAAGATTGTATATGTATAAAGAAAATGATGGAAAATATATTTTATTTTACAATGTTTATCAGGCACCTAGTAAGTTCTAAGTGCTCTATCAGGTACTAAGGACAAAAGAATAGAACACAGACCGCAGCTCCTGCCCTCATAAGAGAACACAGTGACAGCTGTCTATGGATCAGGAGTTAATGAATTGTGCACTGGAGTTTTAATGAAACATTGAACATTCCAGAAAACATCTGCATTATTATTTCAATCAAACGACGAAAATCACAAAAGCTATTTTTCAAAAATGTGAAACTGAGTTTCAAAAGAAGGATGTTGAAGCTGTGACTCTAGTAGGAATCTCAGTATGTGGAAAATGCACCTTTATGGATGAAAAAAAACTCTAAGGAAATTTCACAAAGCATAATGAACGCCCACCGCTGTGTGATGGGACGCTGGCTAAGATTCGTTTCTTTATTCTGCGTTATCTCGCCTCGCAATGTTCTCCATTGAGGCTGAACGCCCATCCTAATGAAAGAATATATTGATGAATGTCCCCAAGCCCCAGGACTAAGTAGGGGAAACAGAATGACAAGACTATTCAGAGCAGCAGAATAATGTTGCTAAGGGACGCAGGCGGCTAGCGGGAGACGGGCGGATTTGAAAAGCAAAAGGGCTTTGTCCACTGGTGGTGAGTTTCAGCGAGGAACCCGCCCACTCACGCACTAGAGGGGGGAAAAAATGCCTCTTCCATCAGAAAGGGCTCGGCGATGTTTTTTCGCTCACGAAGGGCGGGGCGGGAGGCGAGCAAAGCCGCTCCACGGCGCAACACTACCACCTGACGACCACAGAAACCAGACGCCACCAATAGCATAGAAAACTCCATTTTCTCCGCTGCTTTTCGACTACGCCCCGGACACTTCGGCTGGGACAGGAAAACGGGAAGTTAGCGACAACCCGAGAAGGGACTGCAACAAGCTCCATGGCTCCGGCGAACAAGGAAAAGGGAGCAATCCCTTTACAAAAGCATCCCCTAGTCCCGCCCTCGGAACCATAGCAACCGCGCAGGAAGTTCCTCAGCCACCGCAATAACGCAGCCTGGGGGGCGTGGCTGGCCTAGGATTGACGGGCTCGGGCCTCCACGTCGGAGACCCGGGAGGAGGGTCGGTTCTGGTCTCCTTCCTGGTGTCCGCCGCAGGCTTTCTTCTCCTTGCTATACCGAGCTCACGGCCGAGGGACGCGACTGCCCCAACCGCCCTACGTTCCAGACTCGTGTCAGGCCCCGGGCTGTCTTCAACCCAGCCAGCAAACACGCTTCTTAGGTGGCACACCCAACGTCCTCCCCGCAGCCCTAACTTCGCTGATCTTCCCCTGCTATCTCAATCGCCCCTGGGGCTGACGAAGCCACAACCAGGACCTCTCCGTCCTCAGGGGTCTCCTCCGCCCACAATCATGCCCTGGGCGTCCGGAAGGACCCGCGCCCTTCCACGATGTGCAGTAATGGACGGGCGCCCTGCCTCTGTCTTAACAGCTGAGCACTGATGAGAAAAACCTTAAGGCCTTACGAATTATTGTACCTTTCTCCATGACCATGAGAGATTGCGGCTCACTTTCACTCCCATGCTACCTCCACTGCTACCGGAGTCCCCAACAATGCTAGGAACCCTCTCCCATTTCAGTGGCCTACCCTAAGGATTCATTGAGAAGACAGAAGCAATCCGCTGGGAACTCTTCGGGCTTCCGAAGCCCAGTCTACCCATGCCCGCCCTGGCATTCTCTGCCGCCCTTCTGCGTACGGTGCTCCTAACTGAAGCCAGGCCCTCACTTCAGTTCAGGATCCCATGCCTCCCATCTTCTCAGGGGCTTTACTCCTGCAATGATCCCTCCTCTTTTCCAAGTCATCACTGCCCCCTTTCGTTAGAGCACTCCACAAGCAAAGGAGGAAAAAACCCACCCTCTCGCCACATGTCCTTCAGCAGCTGCTGGCACAGAATGTGTTGCTCTTCACAAAAACTGCCTGGAATTCTGAGGCCACGGCCTCAACTCCCTTTAATAGAGCTTTTGTCCTTGATCTGTATTTTGGGGTCGTTGAGGGTGGAAGGATCTCTTGAGCCCAGGAGTTTGAGGCTGCAGTGGAGCTACGATCGTGCCACAATACCGCAGCCTTGTGACACAATGGGGTGGTGTCTCGGAAAAAAAAAAAAAAGAGAGAGAAGAGAGAGAGAAAGAGAAAGAAACAGAAAGGAATTATCTCCCCTTCTTTCTATAAGAATCTCTGACTGACTGCTTTTCCTGGCTCTGGGCACATTTTTGACTCCATGCTCCATGGCTCAGGCCCTGGGAAACATTTCCTCGTTGTTCTGAACAAAGTACAAATTCCCAACTGTGCTTTTTTTTGACCTGGATATAATAGGGCAAGTCTGAGGTGAACAGGAAAGACAAGCCAAACAAAGTGTCCTGTTCTAGTCACAGGGGGTAGGAGGTCCCCAGAGGCAGTGAGAGTTAGACATCTCAGAGGAGGAAAGAAGGTGTGACAAAGGAGTGGAGAGAGGCTCCCAGTAAAAGAGGGTTTTACCCCATGCAAATATGGAGTTCATTTTGCAGAATGGCCCCGTAGGCTCTTTGGGCAGAGGGCTGTCTGGAGTTGAAGAATTTTGCTTTGTAGAGCTGATCTTGGTTCCTGCTGTTTTGGGAGACCTCAGGGCTCTACAGTGTCTGAGAGGGGAATGTGCAAGTGGCCGATTGAAAACCCCCGGGTGCAACCATGAAGCAAGCATCAGCCAGATAGGGGCTAGGTGACCCTGCAGCTGAGGCTCTGGAGTGCACAGCACTGGCCAGGGTTCGGGGGAGGATGAGGCCCAGATTGAGAGGGGTCTGTAGATGCCAGCACGGGTGGGCTGAGGCCGAGTCAGCCAGGGAGCACAAGGTCCCGATCAAGATGAGAGAGGAGACAAAAATGCAGGTTACGCCATCCTCACGCATGGATGAGCAGGGCAGCAGTGCCAGCAGGACTGAGGGACAAGAGTGAGCCTTCCCCAAGAAACCACCGAGGCTACTGCAATCAACATCAGATGTCATAGGCCCCTTCCCACATCACCATGGAGACTCGAAAGCCACTTACGCCCCTTCCCCATGTTGGACAGGAGTAGAGAGGTGGGGTGGCAATCCAAGAGACTGATCATTTTTGCCAAAACAGATCGAGCATTTGTACAAATGGACTGGTTACATAACAGCATCAGATGACACCAGATCAGACGAAAATCCAGTGGGTTCCTTTCCCTTTACTATCCAGTCCAGAGGGTGGACAAGCAAGATGAACATCACATCAGTCAGAGAGACTAAATCAACCAATGTGCTTGTGGGGTATGAGGGGCATGAGTGAGTTTGTGCTCCCTAAACACCATCCCCTCTGACTCCTGCTCTGCACCCCGTCTTATCGACCCACAGTAGCAAGAAAATGGGACACACCTGTCTTCTCTACTACAACCGAGGACAATTGTAACCCCCTGTAGGCAGACCCCCAGAACAGGACACACAAAGAGCAGAGAATCAGACACACACACAGAACAGGGAAGCCGTTGTTCCCTTCCCCATGCTACCCCAGGCTCTACCGTCCTTTATTCGGACAGACCCCATTTTCCAGGGCCTGAGCCATGGAGCCTGGAGGCAAAACTGTTTCCAGAGCCAGGAAAGGATGCCTAGAGAAAAGCATAAGCCAGAGATTCTTCTAAAAGGAAGGGTTTTTTTCCCCTCTTGTTCCTTCTTTCTTTTCCTTTTTTTCTGTCACCTAGGCTGGAGTAGAGGAGCACGATCGTAGCTCACTGTAGCCTCAAACTCCTGGCTCTAGAGATCCTCCCACCTCAGCCACCCCAGTATCTGAGATGACAATCTTGCACCACCATAGCCGGCTAATGTTTCCACTCTTTGTAGAGATGAGGTCTCATTACATTGCCCAGGCTGGTCTTGATTCCTGGGCTCAAGCATCCTCCTACCTCAGCCTCCTAAATCATTGGGATTACAGGTGTGCACCAGCGTGTATGGCTGCCACCTCTTATTTACTCACCTGAGACGATTTTAACTCCCATAAATAGACCGCCCACCCCCAACAGAGTACAGAAAGAGGAGAAACCAGAGAGGCACGCAGAGTGGAACAGCCAATGAAAGCTGTCACTGAGGTGAGCAGGGCCTCCTTGAGGGCCATCATTGCCGTCCCCAGCCATGCTGGGCTCCAGTGTTCTTTATTAAGATAGACCACACTTCCCAGGGCCTGAGCCCTGAAGGGTGGTGTGAGAAAATGTTTCTACAGCCAGAGAACAATGTCTGGAGGAAGCACAGCGAGACAAAATTTCCTATTAAAACAAGGAGGGCGGCCGGGCGCGGTGGCGCACGCCTGTAATCCCAGCAGTTTGGGAGGCCGAGGCGGGCAGATCATGAGGTCAGGAGGTGGAGACCATCCTGGCTAACACGGTGAAACTCCGTCTCTACTAAAAATACAAAAAATCAGCTGGGCGTGGTGGCACGTACCTGAAGCCCAGCTACTCGGGAGGCTGACGCAGGAAAATCGCTTGAACCCAGGAGGCAGAGGTTGCAGTGAGCCGAGATTGTGCCACTGCACTCCAGCCTGAGTGACGCGACTCTCTCTCTCAAAAGAAAAAAAAAAAAAAAAAAAAAAAAAAAGGAGGAGGGGCTTTTTTCCTTCTTATTTCTTTCAAATGTACACAATGCCAGTTTCCTCCCAAGAGCTGACGGGTACAGGGAATTGCAGTGGTTCCTGACAGACCTAGAATTGTCTCCCATCATCGTATTCTGGCAGAAACCCATTCTCCAAGGCAGAACCTCATGTCTCACAGACGCCACGCACCCTCGTGCATGGGCACGGCCCTTTGGGCAGGTCTCGCTTCTCCAGCCCT